ATACTTGAAAAAAAAGGGGTTTTGGCTTTTAGGATTTTTGCCTGTCGCATTTCAAAATCTTTTTGTTCTGCCTTATAATAGGTCTACATTTAACTTGCCAGAATTGTGCTCTTTTCTGCTTTGCTTGCTTGGATTTCACTTTTTGAAAAACCTCTGTTTATTTCTAGTCACTTCCTTTACTGTTCAGTTGTGTTGGACAATTCTTATTCAACTGGGTTAGAATCAGAAAGCAAAGTCCACATGTCTCTTTTAATATTTATTTAAACTGTATCCTCATTTGTATGCAATTCCTTTTTAAACAATACTGGACTTTTAAAAAAAAAATTAATCTTTTTCTCTCCTACAAGTTTGAGAAATATAAGTATGATACAAAGTATTGCTACTGAATCGGTCTTCTATAGGACACTTCTTGTGTGCTAATCCAGACTAAATCAAGGGCTGTCAATATTGTCTTGTGGCCTAATGTTGTTATCCAGTCTATATCTAGATAACCAAGATCTCTTGTTATAATGAATCTTTTGGGTTGTATAGCCTCTCCAGTCTTCCACACTATTTCACATTCCCTGTCTCCATCCTATTAACTAGTTCAGAGCTCTTACTAGACTTCTCCTGTTCAGATACAGAACCATTTGTAATTATGTTTTGTGGTTTGTTCTGATAAAATTAACTTATTTGACTATATTTTGTTTGGTGTATATATAGCACCATTTGTCTGCATAGTCCAAACTACCCTCTCAGTTTCAGCTAGGCACTAAACATTCTATCATCTCTGTATAATCTATACACTGACATTTCCAGTGTCCCTTTGAAAGAAAGAAAAGCAATATATGCAGATCCACTTCCAGAAAGAGGGTGACATACCTGGGGAAATCCTGATGGAATTCATGCTTAGCACTCTTCTGAAGACTCATTACCTTCAAGGCACAGTGGAAACAGAGCACTACAAAATAGCAATGCACCAAGATACCAGACCAAAACTAGTGTAGGTTCCTTCTCAACAGAGATCAGATGGCGTCTGAAAAGGGACTGACTGACACTACAGCTGGAACAACTGTTTGTGGTTATTCAGGATTTCTGTACCAAGAGAGGCTGTGTCAGGAAGGGAATGCACTAAGGAGCAGAAGGATGCTATGGAAGTATAAAAAGTCCTTTAACCTTTTACACACAGAACTTTGTAATATTTGCATTTACTTCCTTCTGTGAGAAGAGAGAGTCTGTTCTTACTGCTGTGGAGAAGAGAGGGATGCTTTCAGGACACTATGCCAGCAGCTATTGACTTGGGTTTGACAGCTGAGAAGGCCTCTGGTGCTAGCATCTGTTGGCTGCAACTCACTTCTCTACCTTTTGTGTGGGCTCTAGTTGGAACACCTTCTTTCTGCGTTAAATATGATGTGACATTAGGCACAGCAGAATCCAACAGCTACAATGCAGTATTCAGTGGGTATTCATTATTTGTATTACCATAAATCTTGGGACGCCTCACCCTGGACCACTTTTCATTATGCTGAGCCATGAATAAACACACAACAAAAAGTAGATGTGCTTGAATTCTACAGAAAGAGACAACAGAGAAATTATGTCAGAGTACAAAGAAGACACTTAAAGGAAAATAGTGAACAGTTCTGTTTATGAAGAAATCAACCAATACATGAGAGGCAGCTGAGAAGAAAATATCCAATGTGGTCTGAATATTTAATGACCAAATGGATGGAAGCTAGCATTATATGTTGATCAAACCCTCTTGATACTGAAGGAAAGGTATGAGGTAGAAGCAGTCTTGTCAGCTTATCTTTATTGCTTTAAACTGAAGGACAAAATTGAAAATACCGAAGGAGTAAGTTTAGTATTTACGGTAGAGTAGCACTTTTGACTAGATAACAAGCATGGCAAGACTGCATTTGTCAAGGCAAAAGAACAAGTTTTTCTAATAAAGACATGATTCATGGAAAACATGGATGAAAAATATAATCGTCTGACAGAGATCGATCATCCTTAAAGGGTTGGAAAAAGATTCCCAAAACTCAGATTCAGCCTATATTTGACGACTTAAAGCAGATGACAACATGATAGTGCCAACCATAGAGGATGCAGAGAGGTTTTTTGTGAGGGCCTCAACCTGAATATTAAAAAAGCTACGAACAAAAGACCAATCGTTGTAACTGGAAATAAAGAACTGAGGGCACTACTGAAGAAAATTTTCATGCATTAGATCTGTTTAGGAGGGGAAATAAAGATGGGAATAGCTATATGAAACGCGTAAAACATTGCTTTTCCAACAAGTACTGTGAAATGAGAAAATTCTTTCATGCCACATTTATTACTAAGTTATTACAGCTATCCATGCTACCACGTTTTGACTTCCGAAGGTTGGAGAAAAACAGTGTTTGTGATGTTATAATATGATGGTGCTTCATTTGACATAAACAAAAACATGCTACATCCACCTTGAAGACAGAACAGTCATGATACAAGCCAAGCACAAAGAGCAGCAGAGAAAAAGATCTCACAGAATAAACTTACAACTAACATGCTGAATGTTCAGGCAGATTCCTTTGCTCTTCTTCTTAGAACACAAGAACAGGGCTACCACCTTGGTTTGCCACTAAACGAAACTTACTCTGTTGCTGTAGTTTGGTATTCCAGCTCTTAAAGTATTCCCAAGCCCCCACAATGGGTAGCTGTGTAGCAAATGCCCACTCCCTACATTCCACAACATCAACTCCTTCTCTTGATATCTGCTTACTTGCTCTTCTCCTAGTTTCAGTCATTTATGGCATCACAGCATGGGTTCAACCAAAGAAACAATCAGATCAGGTGCTCAACAATGGGGGTTAGCAGCAGTGAGTAGTGGAGAGCTGGTTACAGCAGGAGACAATTCAGAGTTCCTTTTCTTCCAAATAGTATTTGTAGTAACACTACGACAGGCAGAACAGAGCTGTGCCCTGACATTATCTCCCTCAAAATACTGGGAAGCTGCCATCACAGGAAGAAGTAGTCACACCTAGGTAACCTGCCTCTCAGTGGCAATGAGTGAAAAAATTAGATACATATGAAACACGGAGAGGATTCATTATATCCCCACTCCCTAGCATGTCACTTTTCTTCCTTTTCTCCTCTGAAACTCGATCTATTTTGAGGCACTTCTTTTGATCTGATTCAGGGTGGGGCAGGCATGGCTAGAGGGCCATGTTTGGCATTTTTTTTGCAATCACCTAATCTCCCTCTCCTTTTCTTTCTTTTACCCACTTTAGTGCAAGTAAGAATAAATACGGCCAATAGGATTAAAAGGTGAAAACAGTAAACCATTAGGTCTAAATATTTTAAAAACAAAATACGCTGATCAAGATTTTTTTATGCAAAATGAAACATTCAGTGTTCTCAAATCTTGATTTAATTTCACATTGAAAAATCTCAATTTCATTTTATATTGCAAAATGTCAAAAGAATCACTGTTAAGTTTTTAAACTAGAACTTGGAAAATTCCCATCCTGTAACGAACATAATGAAACTGTGTTTTGAGCTCTATTGAAGATGATACATTTCAAAGTCATTAAATTCTGTGTTTGAAGAAGAAATTATGGCTCCTGCTTAGAACTAATTGTAGTTTAGCACACACAACCCATTGTCCTCTGCTCTTAGTTGTAACTGTCATCTTGAATCCCCAATTTATAAAGGTACAACTAGTCACTGGGTCTTCTTCAAAGCCCATATACTCCCCTCCAACAGAAAAAATGGAGAAAACCAGTTACTGAAAGTTTTAAACTTACATCTATCATATATTCAGTGTAATGAGAAATACCAGTAGCTATTCATTTAGTTCTCCTTTCAGGAATATTTTTGCCATCCATTTTCTGGTTTTTGGTTTCATTTGTTTTGTTGGGTTTTTTTTTTTTTAATTGGACTCTCTAGTCTGCTTTTGATCTGAGTTTATGATTTCTTCTTTGGTCTCGCTCTTTCTTCAAATTACTTTCATCTCATGCTGCTCTTGTGCCAAGAAAAAAAAAAAATATATCCTGTCCTCCTTAATCTTTACTCACCAATTATTATCTGTGTCCTTGCTCCACAGGAAAGAACCTCTAATTGTCCTTACACACAACTCCTTTAGACCTTTACAGCCCCTTAATAATATTCAAATTCATTAACATTTCCAGTTCTTCCATTTCTCAGATACTAAGCCCCCCCTGAAAACATTCCTGTATTTGAATACCAGAAAGGAAATACAGTATCATAAAAAAGGGCATGGTGTTTATAATACCCCTTTTGTTATACAGGGAAAACACCTACATGTAGATTTTGCTCATTTGTATATAAAAATAGGAGTCATAGCAATGACTGTACCCATAGTTACAGGAAAAGAACTTCCTCCTTAATCCAAGCATAGGTATTTATAGTTATTTTGAGTGAATCCACTGACATATGATATGGGTAATTATTATTGATTAAGCACAAAGTACTTGGGTGTAATAAAATAGGTAGCTCCTGTTTAAGACTATAGCTAATCAGCATGCATGATCAAATTCACTCATAATGCCAGCTCAGTTTAATTTAACCAAGTTACACTGACACAAGTAAAAGTGTATATTTATTAACATTTCAATGTTCAACTCAGCAAGACAATTATGTTAGTAAATCAGTTTGCAATATCTACACAAATATTGGTAGTATAAACAGTTTTTATAGATCTATAAATTTCAGAAAGAATATGGGTGAAAATACAGAGCAGATCAGAGACACTATTCTGAAAATAAAGAAAACAAACAAATTAGAACTCCCTACCTAATAGCAGTACGGAAGGACTCCAGGTTCACATGGTGAATTACCCAAGAATAATGAAATCCTTAATGGATATATCGTGTGTGTATATATATATATATACACTCAAAAGAACTGAAGTCAATTGACATAAGTCAAACCTCTTGATTCACCTTTATATCATTATTAGTTTGTCAACATCAGTAAAGACTAACTATTGAAAAATTCAATCATTTCAATGTACTTACAGCTCAATTTTCTCATCATGTGACCAACTATCCACAAAGCCTCAGTGCCATTAAGAAGTTTTGAGGAATATATTATTTGGTACTGCCAAAAAAACATAATTAAAAGAATGCATGTAAATTATATTAATTTTCTAATTAGAAATGTTTTATGATTATTTCATGTCTAAAGTACATTTGGGTGAAAAGCAGGACTTACATTATCCCAAAAGGCAGGTTCCAGCACAATCAATGATACACTGACAGAATTCACAGTAAGGAGTCACAGTAGGGTCCTGATCTTGCAACTGAACTTTCACAAAAAGAACCCTGTACTACTGCAGAATCTCCTTAATTTCAATAGGGCCCTACCCACACATAATCAATTACAGAGTCCGCCTATGTGGGAGTAACAACAGCAAGAACAGGACGTGTTCCTCCACACACCTGCAAAAATATTGGGATAAAAAAAAAAAATTAGTAACATGCAGCAAAACCTACTGATAGCCTGTTTTATTACAGCATTTAGCACATAATAAAGGAGTTCCATACATCTTTAAGTTTCATATTATTTATAGGAATTTTTAGCTCCTTCTTTAAAGAATGTTGGCTTAAAATTGCTTATGGATTTTACATGCAGTGACAGCACATTATGGGAGCCTTTACTGATATATACTTGAAATATAATTTTTTTAATTATTATTTTCTAAAAAATAATTATCCTAGTCTCTTTGGTCTATGATGTAAGGTGGTTTTAGTGCTTAAGACTTCTTAAGATCTGTCCCACAATGTTGGGGACACACCATAGGTCTGTAAATTTATTGACGTCTTCGTGATTGTGGAAGTATCTGACCACATATAGCAGCATCCAAGACCAAAGTCTTCAAAAATACATGATAAAAAGTAGTTTAATATTAGGCATTTTTAGACTAAAAAGAGTCAAGTTTTTAAAATGAAAAATCCTTGTGATAATCAACTATAATTAATTATTTGCTAAGTTTCTCTTAGTGAACACCATTTAAACACAGGAAGCACACAACATAATGTTGAACAATAATATACCACCACTTTGCTGTTGACACAAAACTTAATAATTTGACCTTACTGTTCTTATTAAAAATACATCTATGTTGATCTTGATAATGAAAATATTATAAGTTATAATGCTTTATATATTAGAAACCATTTACAAACAGGTTAGCCATAGGTTCCATTAAGTAATATTTAACTGGTGACACTATGCAAGAGTACTGGTGATAAAGGTTAAAAGAACAACAAAATCTAGCAACCTGCAGAAGACATTTCTTTTTGGCTTTAATAGAGATAGCATTAGCAAAAAAAGGGTATTTAAAAAAAAAAAAAAGCTGGGACCAAATGTAAGAATTTGAGAATCTAACAGAAGAACCAAAAGTTCCATGTAAATGGAATGTGGTCTTTTTTTTTTTTTTTTTTTTTAATAACCAGTTGTTCTCTTACTGGCTTTGATTTTGTGAAACAACAGACATGAAAATAAGCATAAAATGGAAAACAGTATCACAGTTTTTTGTTCCTGTCACCAGGTTGATGGTTTTCAACTGGGCAGGAGGACAAACAAAAAGATTTGAAATACACATTTCAGACTTTATGACAAATTTCAAGGTATTTGTCTTACAATATTGAATTGGAAGTGTTTCTTCCCATGTTACTGCTTTTAAATTTTGTTTCATATGCATGACTTTTAGGCTTCTGTTATCCTGAGAAATTCAACTGTTTCTAAAGAATACTGCTCGAGTGCGAAGTTCTGTTTAAAAAGTGTTATAAGCTATCTTGACCTCTGTCTAACATTATGCAGAAAATTTTAAAATATCAGACATCTGCCAAGGTTGTGCTGCCTACCTGAGCTGCAAAGTGAGTGAATCAGTATCTCTGGACAAGTGTAATCTGCCCATTTCTCACTGACTGAGAAAAATGGGCAGACCGTACCTTTCAGGACAATGGTGGTGCCCATAATCATACAGCTACAGATTTAGCATTTCCCAAGATGCAATGCAATGCGGTAACTTGGTGCAGCTAGACCCTTAATATGTTTTCTGTCCCTGGGCCTAGCTCCACATCTTTCTTCACAAAGGAAGTTAATTGGAATACAATGCATGTTTTCTGGGCTGATCCAGGAGCGTAGGTTGTAGGATGGGTCAGGGACACATAGCTGCAGTCTAAATTACAGTCAGTTTCTGGGGAGAGCTGAAAACATAGTTTTACAATTTTGACAGCCTAAGGAATAGCTCAGAGCTGACATCCAAACAGTCAAAGAAATGAAATACTGAAGCTGTCTCAACAGTTCCTTTCTCTGACATGGACAGGAAAAATATGCATCTAATCCAGGTATAGAAACTGCCACAAAATGGAATGATTCACAAGTGGTTTGGTAGACTAGAAGGCCCTGGCAAAAACCAAGCTTTTTTTCATGACTAGCAGAAGAAATTAAGTCTAGTTACCTATCAGTGTGCTTGTACGTGTCACCAACACACTTGTGCAGTAATCCCAGGCTGACACTACCCTGGCTGTTTTCCCATTCCCTTCTAAACAGATTTCCCTAAATTCCTGCAGAAAACATCAGCTTCTGACTTCTAGGAGAATAAGAGGCAGCTCACACTGTGGCTAGGTCTGAGCTACAAATACGCTGACTGACAGATCAACCAAGCATGCTGACTGGCAAGTCAACAGGTTGAACAAAACAGAAAATTTCTGAGTCGATGCTGCAGCTTTCTCTACCCTGGGGCACTGATTTGAGTCCTTTCTCTACTTCCAGCTGCTAAGTTTCACTCAAATTGTAGGAACTTGACTTTGTGACCTCTATCTCTATATCAAACGCAGCTGAAATTAAGCAGTGGATTCAAAAGTTATTAGGAGACAACACAATCCTATATATCTTGTTTTGTTCAGAAACTGGGCATGAAAACACTATAGCATAATCACTGTGAAAGTAACTAATGAATTTTATGTCACTTCTTGTTTTCATTCAGGAGTTACACCACTCAGCTATAACAGAACACAGATTTTCACATGGTGATAGCATAAATGAATCCAGAGAATGTAGAGGCTGTTTCAATAAAACTGTCTTTGTTTTGCCACTGTGAACAGGGCTCTAAATATATGTCACTTCATAAAGGTGAAAATTTAACAGAAATAAGATTTTATATATAATTTTTTGAACTTACCAAGACTGTAGTTGACTGCCCTCCATGGAGACCCCTACTTCTCTTCCAATTCCATGCTGTCTCTCCTAAGGTTTAAGAGAAGTTCAGTGAAAAAACAGTGGCATTAAGTCTAATGAATCCAGTCAGTATACCTGGATTTTTCTTTTGTGCGGTTTTTGGTTGGGTTTGGGTTTTTTTTAGAATAAGCACAGGGAATTTTAAAGAATCACCTTAAAATCCTGATCTTACTGCCTGGATTCAGATCCTGATGTACCAATTACTTTTGGTACATCAAGATTATTTTGGAATAATTTTTAATAATATCCAAGTCCCAGTTCCCTTTTTTATAAAGGGCATCCATAGTGTTCTGCTTACCCTTTCTAATGATCTAGCAGTAAATTTTGACTTCTATGTTTCTCACCAAAAAGGCATAGTTGAAATCGGAGAGGTTTATTTGTTGTTGGATTGCAGAAACTGATGAAAGAAGTAAAGAAATTGAAAAATGTAATGACCTCTCCAAAACTCCAGTAAAAAAGAAGAGAGACAAAGAACAGAGACCTAAGAATAGTTGGTGCGGAAAAGTTAACAGAAAACTGGACATTAGAGGACAGGTTAGCGGGAAACAATAGGTATAAGAAGAGTCAGGGAAGTGATCCAACCAAAAAAGGGATTGAGTACTGAGCACACATTCAGATCTGAGCCCCAACTCCTTACCCTGCTAACATGCAGACTCACACTTTGGCGCTAGTCTGGATCCAGCCTATTGGTTACCAGATATGCAAAGTCCAGCACAAGATGCAAGGGACTAACTCCTCTCCCAAAAGCCATACTCATGCAATTATTGTGGCTTAAGTACAAGATTAATTGTTTGATGAAGCAGAATGTGAATAGTTAAGTGCTTAAAGTTAATTCAAGAATCAGGTCTCAAAAAGAAAACAAAAGAAAAAATGGTTGAGAAAGAAAAAAGAAACAGATTGTTGAATCTGCATTAAAAATAAATGACCTCTGGGTTATATCTCAGTGCACTCTGCCTGAAAACTACTGCTTCTTTCTGGCTTAAGTATTAAATCTTATTTTTAATACATGAAATGGTAAATAACCCTGACAAAGATTAAATGAGTTCAGTGGTTGATAACAGCACTAAAGTAATTCTTAAAAGAGGGTGTAGTTCAGATATTGGTATAAAGGGCTCGCCATCTCTCCTGCCTACTTAAATGCACTTGCACTTCCAAACCCAATTGGGTAAATAGCTGGGAGAGGGTTAATATCCTGTATTCCAATCCCTATGGTAACAACCATAGAGATAGGAGAAAAACGTGGAAATCATAAGCTGATAGTAGGGTTCTGTCCCTTTTACTCCTTAGTCTACAATACAATTAGTAAAGGAAAACAGAAACTGAGACCCTTTTTGAGATACCAAAAAATGTCTGGGGCATCTCTCAGCATCCTGTGAACTTCTGATCATTGTGATATGTCTCCTGAACTATGGATCATTCTGTGCATCATTATTTTAAGCTGTCACCTATCTAAATGACCAGGGAGCCAATATCAACACTCAACAACTATATTCTTATATACACAAACCTCTTGCTACCAATATTCCACTCTTTATCCTCAGCTGTAAAAAAGGAAACTCCCTGTTCTTAAGATGTATAGTTAATAAATCTCTACATATAAGAATCATTACTTAATGAAAGTAGGGCACTAGAGTAAGATTAAAGACCTGATTAAGGCAGTAAGTTAGAGGTAGGATTCATTCCTCTATAGATTCAGTCACCTTTTCATAAAATGGTTAAATAATGTTTTGTTCTTCTCAGGAGAATTATGAGCATTACTAAAATTTTGTAAATGTTTTGAAGCTCAGATTTCAAAATTTCCCAGAAATTAGGAAACTACAGAAGCAAATGAACAACTTACATCAAGCTGTCTTGAGAGAAATAAATTGAACAGCATAAAAGCAAACAAATTAGTACAAGCTAAAGCATTTCCAGATCCCTCACTCCTGCGTTCATTTCAGTAGCATTTCATTTAACTGCAGGCATACATGTCTGCAAAGTTTAAGCTTCAATCTTTCAAACGATTCCACATATCTGAACTTCACTCCTCTGAGTAGTGCTACTGATAAAACTACTCATGTGAACAGAGTTAAGCACATGCACAGGTCTAAGGTTAAAGCAAGTAACAACGAAATTAGCTAATGAATTCAGTGTATCACTAACAATTATTTTTGAAAAGTCAAGGACAGCTAAGAAAATAGCAAAGCTTGAGAAATTAATAGCTGAAATACTGGGGGAGAGGGAGAAATTAGGTTATGGTCCCAGTAATTGCCCTACAAAAATCTAACTTCAATACCTATTAAGTAACAGAATCAATGCTAGGAAGAAAAAAACAATAGAGCATCCCCTCAATAACTTAATAGTCATGACAACCACACTATTTTCTCACCATTTGATGAGTCCTCTTCAGTTCAAGGCTGAAGTTCATGGGTGCTGTGGAGAAGATCACTTGGCAACTGCTCTGCTGAAATTAATCCATGAATAAAGAATGGGCTTCAGTTTTCACAGATATCAAGCCAGCACTTTTCACAACCATTAAATCCACAAAAATATTAAAACATTTAGAAGTTACAGCTAGACAGTTTTAGAAAAACTTGACCACAGAACCTAAGTTTAATAACAAATCTTTCCTAAATCCTCAGGGATATGTTCATTATTATGACTCAGGCCTACAGCTATGTTAAGAGTCAGTATTATAAGATCTGAATGAAATATAGTAAATCCAACCAATCCAACCTTTCAGCTACACCATTAGTCTTTATGCTACGCTGAGTGAAAAAAAAAAAAAAAAAAAAAATTGAAAGTAGGCTATTGAAAAATTAGGAGGTACTCTACAGTAGAGAAAAAAAAAAGGGTTGGGTTTTTTTTTTAAATCTGGAAGTTTATAGGAAATCTAATAAAGTAGTTGCAAGTCCTAAGCCAGCACATACTTCTTGTAGTCCTTACTGCCTACAGAAGCACCCCTAGATCAGGTCTATATTAGCAAATTCGGAACTCTCTCTTCACTGTACAATAGTAAATGCTGTCCGCTTCAGTCCTTTCTAGATTAGAACCTCTGCCATTGATAGCAGACTGAAACTGCAAAAGTAATGAATTCCAAATCCTGTATTTGTCAGGGTAAATCAGAGACTGAATGGCCACAGAAGCAAGTAGAAAACTCATACTTGAAAGAGGATGTTCAACTACAGTTACTAGGTTATTAAACTGAAACTTTAAACTTCAGATGATATCAAATTTACAGAAGAGGTCTGAAGGGAGGCTTAGATGAATCTGTAACAGGGATCTAGAAGGCTGGACGAGCATCAGGGCCAAGGCAGGGCTCAAATTAGGAAAATAAATAGAAAAAAATTCTAATTCCCACTGGCTGTATGTCCATGTGCCACACAAACACAGAACACCAAAATATGTAGATGTGCAAATATTGAAAAGATTATTATAATTACTACATGTAGGTGTATCTTGGTGCCCTCCAACTGGTCTAACTTATGTAGGAACTGGACCAGATGAAGGTACACAGTCAAGCCAAAGAATCTAACTCAAAAGTTACAGAGTAATGACACAATGCCAGTTTTCATTACAACAAATTCCTCTAATCCTCATGGTTGTAAAATAAATCTTAGAAACACATAGCAAGGTAATTTGTAAAGTAATGTGTGCCTGAGTCAGAAGACAGCCTCCAGCTTTCTAATCATCTCTGACTAGCTATGAGCTCCTGTGCCATTTTGGCAGAGAAGTACTTTGCTTTGGGTTTGCCATCTCTCAACTGGACCCAGGCAATTCAGTATATCCAAGCACAAAGTCTGCCACATATAAGAAAGTACAGGAAGCTGGGGGGATGTCATCTCAGCCACGTGGATTATTGCAAGTCCCTCTCTATATTGATTTTCTCTAGAATTTTAAATTACAAATTCAGGGTCTCAAGACCCTCCAGGGCCTAAATGCAGGATTCCTAAAGAAATGCCAACTAGGTCTCTAGACTGGATCCAGTTGCCAGCCGTTTCCCTCTTCTGACATAAGAGAACTTGTGCAACAAGGGGGGAAAAGCTACCATTTCTAGAGACAGAACTTTCTCCGGACTGGTGCAAGTCTGTGGAATGAATGTGCCTAGGAGCTAAGGGCCATCAGAAACCTAACTGCATTTTGCTTGAAGAACAAAACACATTACTTTGACCTTGCCTCACTAACATAAATACATAACACTTATATGGAAGAAAGACAGATAAAATAAACTGAAAACATTCATCTGCACATTCTCCTTCCCCTGGCAACAAGAGAACAGATATGACAAATGCTGGCCATGTCACTTATTACAGTATGAGGAGATTCTCTGACACTATAATGACACTCTCTGAGGAGAAGAGTCTACAACGGAGGACAGGCACTACTAGAAAGTGTTGAGGTAGTGCTGTAATGAGAACTGTGTGAAGAAAAAAGTCCATTATGGAAGCCACAGCTTAACTTCGTATTTGCTACCACAGCAGATAAGACTTCCATCATGCTGACGAGCCTAAGTTGTTTGGAATGGAAACCTGATCTAAAGAATTGACATCCCTTTTACTAAGGCTCAAAATACCTTTCTCTCCCTTCTACCCTCAGCTGTGTTCCTGCTGTGACTTTTTGGCTTCACTAGTCACAGAGGAAACAAACTGATGATCTTCTCCCAGATGCTACAGCCAGAGAATGTAATGCCCACCTCGTATTACATGGATTTTTAGACTACAGCAATTGCCTTTCTCACTTGTTCTGATACTCAAATATTCACCCATTCTGATCCTTAAATTACTAGAATTGTGCATTATTTAAGAGATATGAATGGATGATGTAAATCAAGACTACTACATTAGGTTTATGTTTCGTGCAGTCCTAAGTAATACTGAGAATAATGACTGTGTAATATCACTATTAGCTTCTTAAGTCCAAAATACAAGAGCATAATAATGAAGAGAACTACTCAGTGTGCTTACACATAATAATAGACATTTCAGTCTGTACAGGATCAGGGCCTATGTACATTAAGTACGGAATCTGAGAGCAAGCATTAGCTACTAGGGGATGTAAAAATTTCACTTTCATTAAAAATCTTAATGAAGCCTTTGGAATGACATCTGAAAGGACAATGGTGTGATTCATATAAGAGAATACCATGTCCTGTTAAACTGAATGACATCCTATCTTCTACATCTTATTTTTATATTATGGTTCAAAAAATGGGTGAAAAATAATAACTAGAATTATTTTAGGGAAAAACTATACATAATCTAAGTATGGAGAAGTGGTATCAGCAACATCATAATTTTATATTTTTACTGTTTTCATTGCTATTTCGACTGCAAAGTCCTCTTTTCACAGGCACATAACCTTCAGGAAAAAAAAAAACAGAAGACATTTGCTATCATTCTTTTCAGTTGAAAGGCACACTTTTTGAAAATTTCACTCATGGTGATGTTAATAAAATAAGGGAAAAAATGTAAATACACTGCAAATCATTTATATTTCCTCTTTTTTAACAGAAAGGTTTTACTAACAGAAGTTTTTTCATCTGGCTAATTTTCACCAAGCTCAGATTAAAAAATTAAAAATCAGTTTCTTTAGCAATACCAAAACTCAAATCCCAGGAAAACATAGTGACATAAATGCATAATGTTAGCTATGTGATTACTTACATGTTGCCTTGCACTACTTTTTTACTAAGGATCTCCAGAATTACATATTTTCTGAGTAGCAGTAGTGTTTGTAGCCATGATGGTCTAAGCTTTTTGAGTCTAAAAGCTTGCTGTTTTCAACTGTGTCAGTTGGGTAAAAAAAAAAAAAAAAAAAAAAAAAAAAAAAAAAAGAGAGAGAGAGAAATTACCTCTCCCTTCAAAACTTGCTCTGCTTATATTTTTGTCAGTGCAGCTCTAGAAGTGGAATCATGAGGAGCATTAGGCCCTGAGCCTGCTAACGTTCGCCTTGCAAGCAGTCCAACTGAGTTTAAGAGGACTTTGCTCACAGACGTGAAGGGAAGATTTTGAAAGTCGGTGGGAACAGAGCTCCCAAACTCTCATATTATGTACTTCTGAAAATCTTCCCCAAAGTCATGGGAACAACAGCTCGCAGGTCTGAGGCCTCTGCTTCTGACTGCTTTCCCTTCCCTTTTTAAAAGCGACTCCGACCAAAAAAAAGCATTGAAGTCAAAAATCCCGAGGAGCCGCTGGCAGTGATGCGTTGGGTCTCTCTACAAAGGCAGGGGTCCGCGCAGCCCGAGGAGAGCTCACAGGAAAGAAACCTTCAGCAGTCAAAAGTCAAGTGCAGACTAGTGGTTCGGGCGGCACTGTAGCCTGCCTTCCCTCCCTGGCTTTCAGCAGCCCGCAACCTCCATCTCGGTTTCCCCCTCTGTGGGATGGGGATAGGAGCACTAACTCAACTATCAGGTACCTTATGATCAGTCACAACTTCGGGCGGGGGGG